CGGGGCGGGGCGAAGTGGGGGAGTGGCGGGACGGGGCAGGATAGGGGTGCCCCGCCCCGAACCCGCCCCGTTGCCATCCCCATACATTTAGCATTATCCGAAGTACTCTGCATGAATGTTGCAAGTTTTGGCAGGTGAAATGAGAAGGTACTAGAATTTTTTTTTTGTTCAAGTTTGTAAGTACTGAACTCGAAATCAAGAAGGGTGATCAATAGTGTATGACTTATATATGCGAGGTTAGCTAAATGGTATCGGCCGGACACGTCTAAGTAGCCACTACAAAATATGTGCGGTCTTTGTTTATAAGTCATAACTAATGCTATTGCAAGAATCGAGTATTTCTAATTTATGCATTGTACCCTAGATGTCCCAACCAAACTAGTTTAAAAATATGCCTAGTTGTCACCTCATTATCAAAACATTTATTGTTTACATGTTGAGGTGGGCAGTTAATTAAGGAACCAACGTATGATGATATGAGCCTAGCGATGTCAACGAGCCGAGTAGAGTCGAGCAGAGCCCGAGCTTTTTTGGACCGAGATTTTTTCGACCCGAGCCGAGCCAGCTCGAATTTTTTGAATTTTTTTTTTAATTGTTGCCTGCTAAAAATAGCTGCCTTTGCAGGCAGCTCTTTGAAAAAAATTTTTAAAATTTTTTTATTTTTTTTAAATGTTAGGCTCGCCCGAGCCACGGGCAGGCCCAGGCTCAAGCCGATGCCCCAAAATGGGGCTCGGCCCGAGCCTCAGGTCGGTGTAACCGAGCCCGAGCCAGGCCTGACTCGAGCTTTTTCAAGACCGAGCCCAAGCCGTCCGAGCCGACGAGCTTTTTTGCCATCGTTATATGAGCCCCATTCGTTATAAAAGTATTAATCATGACTTGACACATATGATAGTGCCTACTACAGAAAGAATAATGCTACACAAATAGGGTTTAGAAACACAGGCGATGACAGTTGCTACCTGTGGGGTTAATTTATTTTTTTGCGCCACGTGTCCCCCGTTTGTCTGTTTGTGTAGCATGATTGTTACGGAAATGGACGAAGTCATATAGTAGACTTCTATTTTTTTGTTTAATCGTAGACTTCTATTGTTTCACTGGCTTTTTTGAAAGGAATCATTATGATATTTTTTCTCTATGCATATATTTAGCGTGTACTCATCTGTCATTGCTAGGTTACAAAATTTAGCCCCCGTTTGACACCCGTTAATTTCTCGTTCTTATTCTTCATTTCAACCACATATTCTCCAAATAAAATAATATTACATATAAATCAAAAAAAATTCATCACTTTTTCACCACACATTCTCACATCAATCACTATTCCAAAATTTCTATTCTCCTCAAAATTAGATTCAAACAAACCCTTAATTAGAATTACAATAGTGATGTTATTATAAAACCTGAAGATGAGGAGATGAGATTTGATTATGGAAATTAAAAAAATAATAATAAAAGGGGGAGGGGGGGGGTGGGGTCTGTGAGATATTTTTTTTTTTTTTCCATTTATTCTCAATTGTTCATTATTTCGTAGTGAATAAACAGATTCTTCTTTTATTCATGTCTATTTCAAAATCAATGTGTATTTATGTGTTCATAATACGGAACTTTTTTACATTACTCATACTAAAAGATTGTTTTAAAAAGAAAACCTAAACCTACTCTATTCAACAAGACAATCATCCTTTCGAACATAATTATCATAGCTTTCAATGTCACCTCAACTCTCGACTCTTCTCTTTGGACAAAGTCTAGCAAGCCTAAACTTAACACTCTAGCCATTGACCCAAGAATCCTTGTTCTCACACATAGCAGTGCACATAGTCTCATAATTCCGGTTAATCTGGTGCCCAAATGCGAAAGCATAAGTATCATAACCAACGATAGTGAGCTTGTGATAAATTTCATGCCCAAATATACAAGCACAAGTATCATAAACAACAATGGTGAACTCATTGAGATATTATTAACCGTAGGGCATACATACAAATTTGTCCAATGATCATGATAGGACACATTGGTACTTTAAGAGAATAAAAGTTTTTTGCTACGAAGTGCAAGACTTGCAATTGAAAAATTTATCCACGAATCTCGATAGCACACTCAGGTACCATTATAAGAATAATATGGTCTTTTCCCATGGATTGCAAGATGTGCAATTGGTCGTGCAGAGATAAATTATAGATTTTTGCACGAGTTTCTTAAGAATTCTATGGGATAGTGAGTTCGTTAGAAGTGATTGAGAATGTTATGTTAAAGTTATAACCTTTTGTCGTGCCAAAAGGAAAGTCTTTTTTTTTTTTTTTTTTTTAAGAATTGGGGCATATGAATTCATTTAATTCTTGTCTTCGAGACACCTTTAATGTTGAGTTCTTTTCTTCCTATCAAAGTATGACGTGTGTAATTTTTTTAATAAATAGGTGACAACGAGATTCAAATTTAGGATTGATATGATGTTGAACCACTTCATCCTACATGTGAAGAAAAAAACAATTTATTAAAGTAAAAAAAATTGTATGGAGAAACATTTGGCCCTTGTTTGTCATCTATTTTATCAAAATTCTTTCTTTTTTTCTCTAATTCATTTTCAACAATCAGTGTTCTAAATAGCTCGTTATTGCTCGCGCTATTGCCCGCTATTGCGTGTTGCTCGACCAAAACGCTACGCTAAGTTGTTTGGCGCTTTTTTGACGGTCAACGCTTGGAGTTGACCGCTAATGCGCGGTAATGCACGCTAAGACACACATTATCGAGCATTATTTTTAATTTTTTTTTCCACAATTTGAAATATTGAGGAGGAAATTTTGAAAAAATGTATAAAGTTCATATAANTGAAATATTAAGTTCTCATGCTATTTGTTTACTATTTTGTATTTAAATTTGAAACTTATATTTTTGTTGGAAATTTTGAAAAAATGTATAAAATTCCTAAATATATGTTATAAATGTTTAGTATGCATTATTTTTAATTATTAAATGATTTTTTGATTGATTAAATATTAAAATAAGAAAACGCTTTTTTACGCTATTTTACGCAAAAGCCTCGTTTTTGCTCGCATAGCCCATTGCTTGGCTTCCACGCATCGCCACGCATTACGCTATTTAGAACACTGTCAACAACACATTCACACAATAAAATATTTTATACATAAAATCAAAACCAAAACTTTTTTCTACTTTTTAACCACAAATTCTCTAAAAAAATATATTATTTCAAAACTCATTTTCACCAAAAAAAAAAAANGTCAATTATATCATAGAACTCAATCACAATTTCTACCAATGAGTACATAACTGATTTAGTCCTTTGGAAAATAACTAATCACCACTTGCCTCGGACATCGATTGATGTTTTACTTTAATAATTTGTTTCACAATTTAAAATTTAAATCACCACTTGCCTCTGACATCGATTGAAGTTTCATACTTTAATAATTTGACCGTTTCAGAGGAAATATCTGACATTCAAAAATTGATCTTCCACCGACTCGAAAGTGGGCTTTTTACATCAAGATAATAAACATGAAAATACGGACCAATTTATATGGATTTAAATTACTCTTTTTTAGTAAGGTTGACATTTTAAGATGAAACTCAAAATCTTAACATAGTATCAAAGTCCACTAAACTCCAACGAGCAATTCGATCTAATTAAGACTCGAAAAATGAGCACATGAATTTCAAGATTGGTTTGTTCAAACGAGCACCATCTTGCGAGGGCATGTTAAGGGATAAAATCTCATATCGAATGAAAATGAAAACATAGACCAATATTTAAGAGTTTTGACTACTCCTCTTAACATGGTTGACATTTTAATATGAAACCCCAAATATTAACAAAGATTAAATAATGACTTAAGAGAAGACTTTCCCAAGTTATATAATCCTTCTTATTGAAATCTTTTCGTTCATTCTTGAAGCTCTAATTCTGCTACTACCTAAAATTACAAATACAGCATAGAAGAAAATTATAATCACAAGTCACTATGAGATTGCATTCTCAATTCATTCTGGCAATTTTGCTTATATTTATC